CTTACTCTCTGAAATTAATAAAAATATATTTTTTAAAGCCAAAAAAAAAAAAAGAAGCCTAGAACCTTCTATATTTTGTCAGTGCTCTCAGATGAATGGGAACTGGAATTGTGTATCTGAGAAGGCATTTACCTTTAGCAGCTGGATACACGCAAAAGTCCCAGCTCTGGCTCAGGAACATCAGGCCGTGGTCACTGTGGGTCTATTAAAGGCAGCAGCTCCCCACACCGAGAATCCAGCTTCAGGCAGGCCAAGTGGTCCGACCGCGTGGGCCCGATGTTCAGTATCGCAATTGGTAACTTCTTCTCCCGGGCAGTGAGGATAAACCTGTAACCAGAGTACACCTGGCGGAGCAGGAGGCGGCACAGGTAAGAGATGCAGGAAGAGACCGCTAGTCGGGAGCCCCGGAGAGGCTCCCAAAGGGGGTGACCGACAAATACCTGTAAGGACGATCCCACCACCAAGAGAGAGTCGGCTTCTTTGACGCGCCTGTGCACAAAGTCGACCTTGTCGGGGTTCACTGTGTCCCCGAAGAAAACGACATCTGGTTTCAGGGGGCCTCCGCAGCGAGCGCAGGGGGGGACCCGAAAGCTCTGCACCTGCTCCTCCGTGAGAAAGACGTCGCCGTCGGGAGCCAGGCCGTGGGCCTCGGCCCTCCAGGTGGGGTTCAGGGCTTCGAAGCGCTCCTGCAGCACCCCACGCGGGGTCTGCTCTCCACAGGCCAGGCAGAGGACCCTGAAAGCCAAGAGGAGGCCGATGAACGCCTGTCCTGGGGAGGCACATGCATCCCCAACTCTTCAGTCCCTCCATCACCACTTCCTTTTCCCATCACCCAGTTTTAGGAATATCTTCTCATGACTCCTTAGCTACCTCCGTTTCCCACCTTCCTTCCGCTGTCGACCTTCCAGAACAAGTAATGTACCTCCGTCTCCTTACTGAACCCTCCCTGCTTACCCTTCACGAGCTCATTTTATCCTTAGCACGACTGCAAATTCTCTACCACAGAAATGATCTCCTTACTGCCAAAACCAGTTTTCCC